AAGAAGAAAAGTTGTCATTTTCCTTCACCTCCTTCTGTCTCCAAAGTATGCTCCTGATCTCATGTCAGGGATGCTTCTAGAAGTGACCAGGGCTTGGAATTTTCCATCCTACCAGGTGACCATCTGATAGACCTTAACTTGGGTTTTCAAGTTGATCCTTAAATCCTTAAGTCTGTTCCTCCATAGAGTTTTCTCTGCTGAGAGCTGCAATTATGTGGTGCCTTTGGCCAACCCTTTTGACCCTCCTCCACAAAAGGTAATTCTAGTTATAAAGTATCAACATATGTTCTCAAATTGTGTTCTAGCATTTTGTAAAAGTAGAATGTGTGAGTGATAAACCTTAATATTGAGCTAAGGAGATTTCTAAATAAAACAGTGAGGGTGTCACTGGATTTTTCCTCGTTGCTCATAGTACAATGATAGTTATGAAAGATGAATCAAATAATTATCGGAAGGCCAGGCACAGAGGCTCATGCCTATAATCCCAGCACTTTGGGAGGCCAAGGTCAGAGGATTGTCTGAGTCCACAGGTTCGAGACCAGCCTGGGCAATTTGGTGAGATCTCATCTCTACAATAAACCAAAAATTAGCTGGGCGTGGTGGCATGTGCCTGTAGCTCTAGCTACTAGGAAGGTTAAGGTAGAAGGATCACCTGAGCTCAGCAGGTAGAGGCAGCGGTAGCCATGAGCAAGCCACTGCATTCCAGCCTGGGTGACACAGAGTGAGACTACAACTCAAAAAAAAAAAAAAAGAATTATTGGCTTCTGAGTAGGGTAAGGCAAGATGATAGAATAGGATTCTCCAGTGATAATCTGTCTGCAGAAACATCAATTTAGGCAACTATCTATATAAAAAAATACCTTCACACAAGATAAGAAAATAACATGAGAGATCACAGTGCCAGTTTATTGCACAATAATAAGGAAAGGTACATTGAAGACAGAAGAAAGAACAGTTTTGCATTATGCATGTCATTCCTTTCCTATCCCCAGGCAAGTACAGCATGAAGAGAGATACAATCCACTTGGGAGAAAGGGAAGGAAATACAAATAAGACTTTGTCTTTGATGTCACCATAAATTAAAGCACCCAGTAGATCCCTACCAGTCGAGACTTTAGCCCACAACTTGAAGAATGAAGTTCTAAACCCACCCTGGCACCAGGCAGGAACCTATATCTCACATTAGGTGGACTCAGTCTTCAGTCCTCATCACCACCTGTGGCCTAGAGTAGCCTTGGACTCTGGGTGACACTCAGTGACAGACAGATGTCAGTGGCTATGAGGTTTTGGATATGCCCCAGTGTTGTGCTAGCTTCAGTGGCCACAGAATCCCAGTCCAGCACAATGCCAAACACAGTGGTTTAAGGTTCAGAGCTCCCCCCAATACTGCAACAACTGCAGTGGTCTCAGGCTTAGGGGCCATGCCAAATGTCCTGCCCATAATCTCTGAACAGATTTACTGGACGGACAGACCAAGAGCGGGAAATTCATTTTTTTATCTTCTTCCTAAACCTTAATACAATCATGAGAAAGTAGATGCTATGTTTTTACAGAAATGCACACTTTAGGTAAAATTAACTTTGCCGACATTGTCTTTTCAGAAACAGACTTCCTGATGTGTATCAGAGATATCTCATAGCGGCAATCAAGTTTGCCAAGAGTAAGGGGAATTTACAAGGCCTAAGACATCGTGCATTGGGCAAGGATTGTAAAAGTCATGAAACTTGTAACCACAAAAGTTATATACAAAAGCTCAGAGGGAGATCAGGTGTAGATTCCATCATCCAGTAAATTGGGCACTATCTACAGGGAAGCCAAGGATACCCTGAAGCTACCCAATGGGAATGCCTAGGAGATAAGGGGAAGGAAACCCTCCGTGAGCTCTAAGGAATGTTGTTCGGGAAGGTGCAGGAGAATTAGAATCCTTGTCACGCACTTCTCTAGGGGCTGTGATACTGTGAGCAAACATTAGTGCGTCTCTGCATCACAGGTTTTCCAAGGTGGTCGATAAGGAAGTCATAGCAATTACGTGCAACATCTCCAAGAAAAAGAATTTAAGCCAGGGCTTTGGGGGGCTACAAGGCCACACTCACCTAGAGTGTAGGCCCACTCCCTGTCTGCGGGGATGAACTTTTCTTAAATAAATCTTTTCTTCTCTCACCTCTGTGTGTTACAATTCTTTGCATTTACTCAGACCTCTGGGTTACCAGTGCGCACCCCCGGCTTGCCAGCTCCAGCGGTGTTGCATCTCCCTGTGCCTCTTCTCCCTCTCCATCCATCCACCACCACCCTGTCCATACCCTAACATTTATTATTAAAGAACATTCTCAGATAAAGCCAGTCTGCAAGACTACAATAAGAGCTTACTTCTTCAAATATGCAAACATTGATGCATAACCACAAGGATCAAGAACAAAACATGAAAACCTGACATGAGACAACAGAAGAAATAAATAGCCAATGACTGAACCTAAAGATATGAAGATGTATGCACTATCTGACAAAGAACTGCAAACAACTGCTTTAGGGAAGTCTAGTGAATATTCTTAAAAATACAGAGGACCAATGGAAAAAAAAGAGGAAAATAATAAGTGACCAGAGAATGAAATTAAACAGAGAGATTGAAATAGCAAGGAAGTAATTATTCAGCAAAAAGAAATTAGAACTTGAGGATCTGGAAAATTTGTAGCTTATTCATAATGGAGAATGAAAGAGAGAGAGAGAGAAAGATAGTGTTTTTTGAAGAGAACACTAAGGGAATAGATGTAAAACAATTATTAAAGATATTAGGGGCTGGGCACAGTGGTTCAGCCTGCAATCCCAGAATTTGGGGAGGCTGAGGCAAGCGAATTGCTTGAGCCTGCGGGTTCGAGACCAGCCTGGGCAACTTTGTGAGACCTCATCTCTACAATAAATTACAAAAACTAGCTGGATGTGGTGGCGTGCATCTGTAGTTCCAGCTACTTGGAAGGTTGAGGCAGAAGGATCACCTAAGTCCAGCGGGTGGAGGCTGTAGTGGCCATGAGCGTGCCACTGCACTCCAGCCTGGGCGACAAGAGTGAGACTCCAACACACACACACACACACACACACACACACACACACACACACACACACAAGACATTAAGTATGTGGTTTGTTGATCTAATCAATTATTTCAATTATGTCAGCAGAAACATCGCCAACTTAGACAGAGGGCAACAGAAACAGGATGAAATGAAGGAAGACTGTCATACTTTTAAGAATCTATATGCAGGACACAGGACAATTAGAGTTATTTAACCATAAACTTGTTTTATTCTTAAGAAAAAGGAAAAAAATCCTGAAAAAAATTTACAAATCAGCTGCTACCAAGGACCCAGAGGCCACAAGACAAATAGTGGGGCTACTGCCCAGGGCCCAGAGGAGAAGGATTACCTCTCAAGGTTGAAGGAGTGAGATTCCCATTATAATGGACCTAGAAGGCGAGGTCATCCCAGTGGGCCTAGAGGGCAGAGCATCAAGACAAAGAGGACTTTTACATGAGCTTAAAATCTCATGGAATTGTTGGGCTTTCTTCTCTCTGATTTCTCCCTTTTGGAATGGGAAGGTCCAACCTATGCCTGTCTCACAATTGTATATTGGAAGCAGATTGTATATTGTTCACTGATTTCATAGTTGAAGAATTTTGCCTCAAGAATAACCGTACCTTAAGTCTCATCTATACCAAACGTAAGTAAAGTTTTGATAATATTTTACACATAAATTTGATTCAGTAATAGGTTAAAGCTCTGGAAGCTGCTAGGATGGGGGTGAATGTACTTTGCACGTGAGAAGGGAATACATTTGAGAGGCCAGAGGATGAAGTATTATGGGCTGAGTTGTATCTCCCAAATTGTATATGTTGAAGTCCTAACTCCTGGTACCTCAGAGAATGTGCCTGTATTTGGAAACAAAACTTTCAAAGAGGTAATCAAGTTAAAATTAAGCGCTTAGGGTGGGTCCTAATCTAATATAGCAGGTTTCTCTATAAGAAGACAAAATTAGTACAGAGGCACACACAGAGGGAAGAGTGTGTGAAGACTCAAAGAGAAGACAGCCATCTGAAAGCCAGGGAGGAGAAAGACCACAGAGGAAACCAATTATGCCAAAACATTCATCTGGGACTTCAAGCCTCAAGAGCTGTGAGAAAAAAATTTATTTTTAAGCCACTCATTCTTTGATATTTTGACATGACAGCCTTAAAAAACTAAACAACATATAATAAACAAAATTAAAACTACAAGAACATGGTAACAGATAATGAGTAATGCAAACAATAAGTGGTATGGAAGTTCATAGGATAGCAAGAGAGGGAGAGAAAAACCACTGGAACAGAGAAATTAAGAAAGGGTTATAGTGAAAGTGGAGTGCATTTGAAGCTGAAAAGAAAAGTTGGGTTTTGATAATAAAAATGAAGATGACATTCTGTTAAAAAAAAAATAGTACAAGCAATGGCAGGGGTAAATCTCTAAGATACCATTTTGATCTACTTGCCTCTTAGAGAGAGCTTATATAGAAGAATATTTATATGAGAATTATAAATAAAGTTGCTACCATGGCTATGAATATGTTTCCCCGAAGAAGATAATACATGGGAAGAAGAGAGTCATGAGAACAAAACTTTCACTCATTTTATATAATTAAAATGAGGAAATGGTAGATAAGAGGGAATAAAAGAATAACATAAACTGTGTGATAACATGAATGGTGAGAAAGGAAAGTGCTTAACTAAATTGGCAGTAGTCACAAATCACTTATAAAATGATGAGACTAAAGACTAATATCTGTCTGTCACGTATTCCCTAAAAGTCCCCTAAAGAATGAGACAACAATATATTCTGCTCCCTCTGCAATCTTTCTAATGCATTAATAGGTGATAGGTACATAATTAATGTATGACAGACACATGACATACTTAAGCATTATATTTCCTTGAAAAAAGACTTTCATTGTATAGTTAAAGGAAGAGTTGGACCTACCCTTTCCAGTCATGAATTTATCCAGAAACTCCTCCCAAGTTCCAGGTTCTGGGTGAATTTTTGCCATCTGGTAGAAATAATAGTAAGACACAGCCACATCTTTGGCATTCCGTGCCACATAGATCATCTATAGAAAGATTTGGAAAAATCAGCATTTTGTTTATATTGTTTAATAATTTTTAAACTTTAGTTTACTTTGGCAGATGCCTATTTTTCTTTTCTATTTTGTGATGTTGACATTTGTATTTATATCCTGACATATTATATATACAATTGTATATTTGTTTAATACATAAAGTTCTACTCCCTCACTTCTAACCCCTGCTTTCTCTTTATCCCTCAAAAGGAAAGAAGAGCATTGTTGGGTTTTTTGGGGTGTGTGTGTGTGTGTGTGTGTGTGTGTGTGTGTGTGTGTGTGTTCTGGGGGAGGATTGAGTCTTGGAATGTTGCCCAGGCTGGTCTCAAAATCCTGAGTTGAAACAGTCCTTTCACCTCAGCCTCCCTAGTACCTGGGACTGCAAGCACATGCCACCACATATGGCAAGAACATACCTTAAAATATAGAAAATCAAATATAAGAATTGTAATCAGTATTAAGTTAATAAAAATTGACTAATATAATCCTTAACTTTAGAATATTTTTCTGCATAATGTATTAAAGCCAGTAATAGAAAGGAGAAGCACGTGTTTAAAAATATTTTAAAAGTCCAACTTTTCATTGAAAATAAATTATTACTTGGATACATTTACATTCAGAATAGATTAAATCTTCATTCCATCCATGATCGTGTTTACATAACAATAATCGGTGCTTGTAAAACTGGTGTGAGAATAGAAATTTATTTTATCTGTATATCCCTTAATTCTGCTTGAAGGGATAAATTTTGAACATACTTCTCAATAGATATGCCATTGTTATGTATTGTTGATAATTAGATTTTCGGTCAAGTTCATTGAAATTCATTAAGCCTACTTCTCCCTGGAGTACCTCTAATAATAATACTGAGGACTCAGTTACCAAAGCAGTAAATATATTTCTAAAGGAAAATGCATTCAGAAAGAAGTCTTCTTTCACATAAGTAGGGTCAGAGCTTCCTTCTTCCTCAATTTTGGGCAAAAGAAATAAAATTTTCTATTTCCAAGTTGTTGATATTAGTTCTAATAGTCTAAGACTGGCATGGAATTTGAGTGGCTAAAAAGAGGTTTTTCAACAGATTGAGTACAAAGATTTAAGATTTGAGACTGTGTTGGCATAACTTCTTAAGAAAATACTAAACCTATAAATATTCTCAGTTACTTCCTATTCCAATACCTGAAGCCTATGGCAAACCAATTGTTTTCTTTACCTATCATCTTTACCTGTAATGTTCTTAGTGAGGTCTGTTTCTGTTTGTCTCTGTGTAATGAGAAGACTATCCTGAAGATATCTTCCAATTCTTCTAATAACAAGTCACGTATTTCTGGGGTTTCTACATATATTATCTACTTGAATTAAGAAAATTAATTACATCTCTACTCCTTATCGCTCTTGTTTTTAATTAGACTTTAAAAGCAAACCACACATAAACCCTAAAACAAAGACTTTGTATAGTAAGAATAAAAGTACAATCGGTCACTTTTTCAAAAGCAAACAAACAAAACCCTGTTTCTGCTCATTCTATTAAAGGTGCTAGGATAAAGACATATTCCAAACAGCTTTCTCAGATTTAAGGTTTTAGTGACAGTCTGTTTTGCATATCAATTTTTACCACCTTGCATCTTATAGATTCTAATTAACCATTTGTAGATCTCTAACACATCTTTTGCGGTTTCACATCTCTTAGCCTGTGCATATGTGACTTCCTCTCTGTGAAACCTCCTATTTACCTCAAAATTTTCCTACTCTTTCTTCAGAATGCTGATTAATTTTTTTATCTATAAAACTTCTTTGCTATATGAAATGAGATCTTTTTGCTTCCTGTGTTTGCACTTATCTTTCTGATATATATATATTTTTTCAAATATATTTGCCTAATTCCCACTATCTGGGTATTCTACAAGACTATATATTATAATAGGACAGATGTCACTGACTGCATTGCCCAAATAAGCATAAGAAAGTGATTGACATACTAAAGACACGCAATAGCATTTGTAGAAATTAAATGTAAGAATATGCTTTCAGCCAGGCTCGGTGGCTCAGCCTGTAATCCCAACACTTTCGGAGGCCGAGGTTAGTGGATTGCCTGAGCCCATGGGTTCGAGACCAGCCCAGGCAACTTGGTGAGACCTCATCTCTGCAATTAAAAAAAAAAATTAGCCAGCCATGGGAGTGTGCGCCTGTAGTTCCAGTTCCCTGGAAGGCTGAGGCGGAAAGATCACTGGAGCCCAGCAGGTCAAGGCTGGGGTGGCCATGACTATGCCACTGCACTCCAGCCTGGGGAACAGAGTGAGACTCCAACTCAAAAGACAAAAAAAGAATATGCTTTCATATGAAGAAGAATATCTCATTTATGTTTGTATTTATAATGCCAATCATAATATTTGATACATGCATGCTAACATTTCCATAGATGTTTACTGATCACATGCTTGCTGACTGTTTTTTCTTACAAGAAGCTGAAACAGATGGAATTCCAAGGAGCAACTGTGCAATTATAGTCAGATTTCAATGCCCTTTTCCAAATAACTGATAGAAAAATATGAAGAAAGAGAAAGGTGACATGTGTACAGATTTTACTAATGTTAAAAGGATATTTTAAAATATTATAAACAACTTTATTCCCAAAGTTTGACAATTTGAATAAAATGGATCAATTTTTTGAAAGACACAAACTACCAAAGATTAAATAAGGACAATTATATAACCTGAATAATCATTTTTATTAACTACATCAAATTTGTAGTTTAAAAAAATTCAGACAGATTATTTCAGGCTCAGATAGCTTCACTGGTAAATTGTTAAAAATATTCAAGAATGAAATTATACCAGTTCTACCTAAACATGCCCAGAAAATTGAAAAAGAGTATATATTTAAATATTTTCCAACTCGTGAGACCAGAATTGCCCTAATACCAAAGACATTATACCCTAATAACAAAGACATTACAATAGAGGAAAACCACAGATTAATATGTCCCATAACAAAAGCACATTTTTGAAATTAGTTAATTGAATTCAATAATATATTAAAAGGTAATAACACATCACAGCTAAAAATATGGTATGCAAAATCATTTTGAAATTTGGAAACTAATTGATGAAATTCATTATATTAACAGACTAAAATCATGGAAGACCATATGACAGATCTTAATAGAGAAAAAAATAGATAAAATTTAAATATATGCAAGGTTATCTTAACATTGAAACATCAATTGATGTAATTAATCATATCAATAGACTAAAATTTCAGAAAACTATATGATGGATCTTAAAAATGTTTTTTAAAAGAGTACTAGGGGGAGATCAGGAAGATGGTGGCCGAGTCTGTCGAACTATGTGAGTCCTGAGGTGAGTTAGTGAGTGTATGGAAAATTTTGCGTACTTGCTGTGAGTGAGCAGGCGTGTGAGTAGCTGACTAGGTGAGGGCTATGGAGCTAGTGGCCAGGGATGTAGAAGCTGAAGGCCATTCCCATTTTCTCTTTTTAATCAACAAAACACTTCCTGGGAAGAAAATGCTGGGAGAGACTGCCTAAGTGGGGGCTTGAGAGCAAGTGGCCAGGCTCCTGGTGCAATAGCTGGTGCAGCAGCATCTCTGCTTAGTCCCTGGCTCATCCCAGGTCACAGAAGCCAAGTGCCATTTTTTTCCTTTAAACGGACAAAAGTTTTCCTGTGAAAAGCAGTGGGGAGAGGCTATCGCCCCGGGCTCTCCCTCACCATTGGCAAGAGAGACTGCTCACCCCAGGTTTTGCCTCACCACTTCTGCACCTGGCAGGGCACTGGCAGCAGGGCTGTGGAAGGAGTCCAGAGGCAAAATCTCATGGAAGAGGACAAGAGAAGCACCCCACCACCATCCTGAAGGCGCGGCAAGGAAGTGCTCTGACTTGCTCACCAGAGCAATAGACCCAATCTCTGTTACTGGCAGATCAACTACTCAGGGATTGATCATGACCCGGAGGGAATATCCTGAAAGCATCAACTTCGGAGGGACCTGATGAGTGCTGAGTTCCAGGTGCACCACCCCTATCCTGACCCAGCCACAGGACAAAAGGTTTGGCCAGAAAAGGCTGAGGAAGAACTCCAAAGAGATCAGTGGTGAGTCTGGGGTGACCCAAACCCTCTCCTCCCCAGCAATCCTCTGAATATGAGACCCATGTGACTGGGCCATGAATGAGAGCAACAAACCCAGGCAGTGCCTGGACGGCAGTAGGAGAATTCCATTCCAGAATAAGCCTGGCTGGGGCATAACCCGCAAGTACATACCTGAGGAAGAGACAATTCCGTACCTCCCCACCAGAGGCAATCTCCCTGACCATATGAGAGTGAGAGGGGAGGACTACAACCCAACTCAACTTCACTGCCCCTCCTCCTTCCCTGCTCTAGACACTGAGGAGAGAGTGAAACAGGTAGCTCTGCAGGAGAGACCTGATTAGAAAAACAATTACAGGGCCTGCCACAAGAGGACAGGGTTTTTGTTGTTTTTTTTTTAAATTTTTTAAAAATTCTTTGTTTGTTAGCTCATCTATCTTTTAAATATTTTTCCTTTGTGTATGAATGTATATGTGAGGGCTTGATCTGCATCCACCCAAATTTTTTAAATTTTTCTGTTTCTTTCTTCTTTTATTTGCTGTTTTCTGTTTATGTGTGTATGTGAATAATTGTGCTCATCTTTCAATTTTGTTCTTTTTTTATTGGTTTGTTTTCATTCTTCTGTGTTTTTTTTAATTTTCATTTTTGATACTTTAAGGTATGTGTCAATATATGTCTGAGGATTTGATCTGAATTTCTTTTTTTTCTCCATCTTTCCGCTTTTCTTCTCTATTCACTTTGTGATAGGCATGTGTATGTGTTTAGTTTTCTTGGTTTTTGTTGTTGATATTTGTTTTGCTACACTTTGGTGTTATTCCAGATTGTTTTGGGTGTGTGTGTGTGTGTGTGTGTGTGTGTGTGTGTGTGTGTGTTCAATTGTTTTTTGCATTGGTTTC